TCCTAACCTTATTCAAATCAAACTTGAAAACTCAAAATCACCTTCACCTCTGGAAGTTTATTTTTCTACTTTGTAGCTAGTTTTGCAGACTGTCCTTAACATTAGAATACAAAAACAAAAACTACTGTCCTTTAAAGTGTAATTAATACAAAAAATATATATTTTTTTAATTAGGCAAGAAGATAACCAAATAATTTGCATTATATATCTTATATTATGGTCATATGTATATATCCCAAATTTCTTTTTGCAGAACTAAATTTTGTTGGGAGCTTTGGTAGCGTAGTGCCTAAGGAAATTGACTGCTAAGCCACTCCTTGGAAGGGAGGTTGGGCAATCTACTTCCATAGTGATACTGCCTTGGAAACTCACAGAGTGGTCGCTATGAGTCTGGTCCCACTCAATGACACATAACAACAACAGATTTTTGTTATGGGTATGGAAGGATAAGAAGGAGCTGTGGTGCATAGTAGTTAAGCATTTGACTGCTAGCAAAAATGTTGGCAGTTAAAACTCACTGGCATCCCTGCAAGAGAAAGAAAGATGTAGCCATCTGCTTCTGTGAAGATTTACACATTTTGAAATACTATGGGTATGGGGTAGTCCTACTCTGTCCTGTAGGATCACTATAAGTTGAAATAGACTTAACAGGAATGGGTTCTTGATGGAAGAATAACGGGGGGGAGGGGGTATTTTGAGGCATATTATAACCCTCCAGGCAGTTCTAACTAATATTTTTATTATTATATTATCTTTAATACCTTATTACATATTGTGGGGCCTTTCTAGCTATAATCTTTGTAACTCCCACTTTGCTGTAAGCATCTGAGTAGCTGATTGTTAAAAGTTATCCACCTGGGATATTTCTGTTGAACCAGCACGAAGCAATCTTCTGGGAAATTTGCTCTCTCTCAGGTATATAGAAATCTGATGGTGGGATTGGTCAGTTTGGCCACTCTGCCAGGCTAAAAAGGATCCCACAGAGAGGCAGGAGTATCTCTGACTGCCAGCAGAGAAAGATGTGCTGCTGAGAAATATGCTCCTGAGAGACATGAGAGAGACATGCTGGTGAAAGAGACATATAAGAGAGACACA